GATTCGCCCTCCAGAAATTTCGCTTTAGATAATAAAAAAATCGCTTGAAGACTAATTTCAGTACGACGTTTCTATAAAATGATTTTAACATATTACAAAGATGTCGTGAATTTCTAAACAATTCAGTCTTGAAAATTCTCGAAATAAAACAGAGAGAGCACTCTCAATATGAATAGTTTTAAACAATCAGTATTTGTGATAAAAAAGAAAAAGCGATAAATGAAAGTATTTTTGGACAACTAAAAATTTTGTCCATAGATTTGGACAACTAAAAATTTTATAATCCAAAATTGAAATTTTCATGCATACATTCATATTATAGCAAAATGCGAATATTTACAGCTATGTATAACTAAAAATTCAAAAAAAAAAAAAAAAAAAAAAACAGAAACAATAATAAATTGACAATTTAAATGAATTAAATAAATAAAATGAGGAAACTTTTACTGACTGATTATTATCAGTTAATTTTTACTTGAAATATCAATGTTGTATTTAATTTTTTTTTTTTTTTTTTTGTTTTTATTAACTAATTTATAATATAGGAAAGAAAGTTAAAGAATCGATGAGAATAATTGTAGCAAGAAAATGGAATGGCCAAATATAAGAGACTAGTGGATGAGTAAAAACAATGAATTCTCGATGAACGCGTGAAAAATGGAAATTTTATGAAATTGCTAAAAGATTATGCGATTCGTTAGAGAGCGAAATGGAAAGATTAGTTTCAGATTAGATTCGCATTAATATATAAACAGTTGTATTTCCTGTTAAATTCTTTATCATCTCTTCTTTTTTATTTTTCATTTTTTTTTTTTTTTTTTCATTCCCATTCTCCTTCTTCTCCCAGTCTTCTCATTCAATCTTTTAATCTTCCTCACAATCCTTTACCAACTAGCCATAAATGATAATGAGCTTCCAAATAAGAGCATTACATTCCGCTTCATTTTCTCTTAAATTAAATATCATGAAATTACGGAATTAAGCAAAATTAAGCTAAGCTAACATATATATATATGCTAATGCTTTAACTCAAGAAATTCAAGTTAAAAGTTAGAAAGTTGAAGTATAATGAAAAAAAAAAAAAAAAAAAAAGGAAAAGGAAAAGGAAAATTTGATAAAACTATAGAATTTGTTAAACGATTTCTTTAAAAGGAAACAAAAAGAAAAAAAATTGGTAATTTTACAGCAATGAAAGAAATATAATAAAATTTAAAATGAGAAAGTTTACTGTATGATTAGTTTGAAAATCGTTGTGAAGACTTAAGAAGAAATAATTGAGGAGAACATTTGGAAGAAAATTGATGATATGTCTTGATGAGGGAAAAAATAGCACTTAGGAAATATATATTTTATTGGGTAAGGGAAAGGGGGAGAAAAAAAAAAGAGAGAACGAAAAGAAAGAAATGGAAAGTTATTGCAAAAATTGTCTTAAATCATTAAGATTAATTTAAATAAAGCTTTAAATCATAGAGAAATAATACAATGATACAAATTTGGTAACAAAAAAATTTATATTAACAATTGATTATAATTATGATGACTTATTAGACTTCCTTATCAGTGTAGCTTATCAGACTAATTTTAGAAATGTTGCTTACACTTCCACTATGATAGAAATTTTTGTCATATGCAAATGCTTATTCCATTTATGCACTAAGCTTTGTTGGGCAAAAATATTTTTTATGGATAATACGAAAGAATGTAATCTCAGCTTTTCATGTGACGGATGAATATTTTGTAAACATTTGCTGAGGTCAATTAGAAATAAGAAATTTGTTGTCCTTTAAAATTTTAATTACCATTTTGTTGGATCCGTGTGATATCCTTCAATATATCTCTTTTTAATCTTGACCTAACAAGACAAAAAAAAACAAGAGAGGTTAGGATAATCTTTTGGTTGTAAAGTTTTAGAAATTTACAATCATTGATAAGCGATCAATGATCATTTGAAATTTGCACACATGGAAGAGAGATTAAGATAGCAGTTGAATAGAAGATGAAAAGAGAGATGTATACCGCAAATTCGTAGCTACTTCGATTGTGGCTTTTTAGCAGGAAATAAAGATGAGAGAAAAGACGAAATAAAATGAAACGAAACGAAATGAAATGATGAATGAATGAATGAATGAATGAATGAATGAATGAATGAATGAATGAATGAATGAAGAAATGTGGAAAAGGAGAGAAAAGTATGAATTGTTTAGATGAAAATTTTCTCAAATTTCATTAGAGGCATAAGAAATTTTGGTTGTGTAGTTTGTGATTTGTATGGAAGGAGGAAAAAAAAAAAAAAAAACAGGAAAGCATATATAGGCAAGATCAAGAATTAACGAGCAACCAACCATTTTAGTTTCTATTTTATAATTTTTGCTATCAAAACAAAATTTCTGCTAAATAAAAGAAAATAGAAAAGAAAAAAAAAGAAAATAAGACATTTATTCCATCAATAAAAGACAAAATACAAATGTAGGAAATTGTTTCTTCTTTTGTATGATTTTCTAATTTCTTTTTTAATTGATATACAAATATTATCTTATTTAATTTACATTTTGAACTTATAACAGAAATCATTTATTAAGAAAAGATAAAATTACTGCGACAATAAGAAATAACATAAACAATAATAGCAATAATGCTAAAAGAATGAAAAAATCTCATTGATGAGAACTAAAAGATGAAAAAAAATTTGTTGTGTAAGAATAAATCACCAATCACAGTCCCATAACGACCAATTCATCAATGCTCTTGTAATTTTCTTTTCTTTTTTCCTCCATTTATTTTTATATGAAACGTTTTTCTCTTTTTTTTTTTTTTTTTTGTTCTTCTTCGTTTTGAAATATTTGTTGTATTACTACAATGATAGATATTGTTTCAGTGAGTAAATATCGCTTAACTTTTCTGAATCATTCATTCTCGTAAGTTTATTGCTGTTAAGAAAGAACACTGAATCCAATTTTATTGTTTGATTTGTCTAGTCGATATGGAAAATTATCAATCCCTATTGATCGAACAAATTTATTACCATTGATCTTTGCGATTTCACTACAAATACTACAGTATCTGTGATCTGTTATTGGAACATTTCGATTTGTTGCAAAAGCTTTCTTTGCCCAACAACCATCTAGCTAGAATTTACATTTTTTTAAAAAAAAGAAAGGAAAAAAAAAACACGATTGAAAGCTGTGGAAGATTTCAATCTGTCAGACTTATAAAATTTTGGTTATTGAAGTTATTGCTAATAACTGTTGTCCAGGTTACTGATGCTTTTAACTGGAATTACATCTACGCATACACAAACACACAGAAATGTCATTATCCATCATCTAAATACCGAAAACTAAAGTACAAAATGTAAGCTTCCAAATGTCCGAAATAGATAAAGCTTTATTGTTAATGGAATAATCGATGATACATCATTGAAAAGAATTATTATGTTGGGTAAATAGAAGAACCAAACTAGCAAAATGGCTATATGCACTAATTAAGCGCTAAATATATTATTGCTACAGCATTTTTCAATCATCAGAACTGCTCATTGACTGAATGTGATGCAATTCGTTAATTGTCAAAACGATCATTCAATAGCAACCGTTCTCATCCAATTTATACTTTTATTTAAATTTGAATAGTTGTTTGATCTTGGTTATATAAAACCATATGATATATGAAAAATGTATTCTACCGTCTATTTAATCATTCCTCTCCATTTTAATGATGAGATAAATTGTCATGATAGAGCAGTTGATATTAAAGTAGTGCTTAGCATGATATTTAAATTATTAAAGTTAAAATTTAGCATTAAAAATCAAGCTTTTTTAATATCAAACAAGAAAACAGAAGAATGAGTGAAAAAAAAAGTGTTTATTTTAACACAGAAAAACAAAAAAAAAAAAAAAAAGACGAATAAAAGGACGAAATGACCAACAGAACAGTTCCATAAAACGTTTGCTGGGAGAATTATTCATTTAAACAGTATGTTTGAAAAATTTTCCACAGCTGCTTCCATCACCTTCCGGGAAATCACCTCGACATCGTTTTTCATCTTTTATACCAGCTGCGAATAACTCATCATCATCATCATCTGAGCCTTTTCTTAGGATCCATAAATTTCTTTAGCATTATGTAATCCTGCAAAGTGATTTGTAGAAAACACAACTCCTCCTCCCACTACCTCCCACACCATTCTCTACAAATTTATTACACCATATGTATTATTCAGAAAATAAATCACTAATTTCACACCATATCAACAACGCCATTTTAAATACTGTATGACACCTGAATAATTAGGAAATATTTTCCTAAAATATTTGGCCTAATGTTTACTTCAACGCCTGTTCACAAGAAAAAACGTACACAACAATTGCAGTGGACTAATTTATTACACATTCCCTATAAATAACAGTGAATAACTCTTCATCTTAACAACAAAGGATATTTTCTGGATCTCAAAAAAAAAAAAAAAAAAAAAAAAAAAAAAGAACTAAGCGATGCAACAATAACGATAACAGTATTAAACAACAGTGATCAAAATCGGGCAGAGTATCAGCATGATGAAGTCCGATAATAATTAAAATTTTCAACAACGTAAAAAATAAAAAACACTGTGCACACTATATGTTTATGCTAAATGAAGTGAGGCTCACCGTTGGAATGTTTTTTTTTTTTTTTTTTTTCAATTGTTAGATGATAACATATAACGCAAAGTGCAGAACGAACGATACCTTATTATTCCTTTTGGAAGCTTGTCATTCATCAGTAATAATTATAGAGCATCTCTTGAACAATGGTAAGAGATTAATTACTGACAAAGGCAGACCGCCGAACAGTAATGGTTAACAATATTTTTTAATAGATTAATTATGAAGTAAGATGATCTGTTCTTCCTTCCTCTACCTCATTTCCTTCCCTATCAAAAAATAACAGTGTGCAATCTTTGAATCCACCTAGTTTTCACATCTCATACAGAAACAAGATCAACTGAAGAAACTATAGTGAGTTCAAAGAATGACACATTTCTTTTTCTTTTTCTTTTGCTGCAATGCAGCCTGCGTTGCTTTTTCGAACACTTCTCGGATTCCCTGAAAATGATAGAAGAAATTTTCCACTAAATAACAGAATCGTTTCACATTTTAATCCATTAGTTGTTTAGGTCGACGTAATTTAACTTCGAAGTTTGGATCAACCAAATCGGTAATATATCTTGAATCTATGGCAGTATTTTGTGAGTATTGATTAATGCTTTCCAAAATATGTTTGATGCTACTTATTATCGCATTTTCTCATGTGACATTCAGTAAGATAGAATTATTTGAAACTATTAATTTAGAAAATGAACTGACATCCTTTGTTTTTGCAGAACATTCCAAATATGCGAAGGCACCGATCTGTTCAGCTATTGCACGGCCTTGTTCCGGACGTACTGGTTCCTGTTTCATCTTCGCTAATTCACGTACCATCTGTGGGTCGTTGCGTAGGTCTTTCTTATTACCAACCAAAATTATTGGAACATTTGGGCAAAAATGACGCACCTAAAATAAAATATGCATATTACCAAGAAAATAAAGCTATTTGAACCTGCCATTCCCCAATTTATGGCAAACCTTATCCCATGTCACCATAACATTATACAAGTCATATGAACTAGAAATAAATTTTTGGAAGCATAAATTCAAATAAACCTTACGCCATGCAGTGACAATGGCAAAGCATTACCGTGTAAACGTGTCCTACGTTCATCCAATTTTTTCTTTTTTTTTTTTTTTTTTTTTTTTTTTTTTTCAAAATTTTTTTTTTTTTTTTTTTTTTGTGTCATGAAAAAATTATTTCAGTAGTAGCTTTCACTGTTAGATGCGTACCTCAGGTGTCCACTTTTCTGGAATGTTTTCTAACGAGTCCGGTGAATCAATGCTAAAACACATCAAGATTACATCAGTATCCGGATAACTGAGTGGTCTTAATCGATCATAATCTTCTTGGCCCGCGGTATCCCACAAAGCTAGTTCCACCTGAAACCTAAGCGAAATAAAACACATTTCAATGCAACAATAATCTCGCTTCAGAAGACTGTGAAAAAAACATCCGCACTTTAATTAACCACAAGTCTAAAATTTGTTAAACTGACGGCATATTTAGTCGCACCTAACACAGAACTAAACATATATATACCAAAGATTTGAAAGTGTTACAGAGCAAACAACTCACCTGTTTCCCGTCCACTTCAATATCTGCAACATAATTTTCAAACACCGTTGGTACATAAACATCTGGGAACTGATCCTTACTGAACACGATTAAAAGGCAAGTTTTGCCTGAAACACATTACTCTGCATATAAAATTGGTGAAGATAATAGTGTATTTCATAGTTGATTAAATATCCTAAATAATGCTTCCTGTAGCTCCTTTTGAACTATGAACAGCAGTTACCAGAAGGGATTTTTAAGTTCCTACACCTCCATTGCACCAGAAATTAAATTAAAACCTTGCTTATTTAGACCCTTAAACTAAATCTGGAATTGTCTTAAGTCACTTTATTTTGTGTAAAACTAGATTGCAAACCCTTCATGCATTTAAAATGATGACTCACCGCAAGCGCCATCACCAACGATGACCAATTTTTTACGAATAGCAGCCATTAACACGCCTTGAAGTCTGCAACGAAATAATGGCTAATGTAGCTGATAAGAAATTAAATACAATGGCCAATTTCACTAAATATAAAACAAACAACATAAGTTATTCTAACTTCGAAGATGTACAGATCCGTTCCTGTAAGCAAATCTCATTCTCAAAGAGTTCCAAAAAGTCCCACCCATAGGGAGTTCAATTAGAAAAAAAAACGGAAATCCTCTCCTAAAACTACTGGAAACCTTTCTCACCCTCCCTTCCCCTTTCCCTCTCGCAAAACCAGAAAAAACCATACCACCAACACCCCACAGAACTAATTAAATATTCTACGGTCCTCCCAACTTTGCAACGCTTTCCGTCTATGCAATTTCCGCGGATCCTTAGGAATTCATCACTAACACCACCCACCCATACTTAACCGACCCTTCGTAATCAATAAAAATTGAATAACTATCGAGTAGTTAACTTAAAAAGCCCATCCTTTACAAATTTTCATTTTTGTGCATAATAATGACATCAAAAAAACGAGATTCGATATTTAGAACAATGTCAAATTAACTTGCTAATATTATGGTTGAAATGAAAGTTTAGAATATGCTAAACTATGAGCTAATTCTGGCTGGGCTTATTTCACTTCAACCCATTGTTAGCTAAATTTTTAGTACGTATGCTAAGGTCTTTTACATGAAAAAATCAATATTGGTATGTGATAAGAGTTCATCTGTAATCAATGCACTACAATGAACGAGTAAATGTTATTCGTAAACTTAATTTCAAAATATATAACTTGGAAAAAAAAAATGGATCACATTTATCCAATTTAAATGTGATAAAGATAACAAAAGTGAAACGAATAAACAATTCAATGAACGTAAACACTCTATTGAACATGTTTTATCCGAACAGTTCATATTTCACGCAAGTCTAATAAGGCCGCTGAATCAGTTCGGTTGTTGTTACGATCTGCGCGGTGATTTGTGGTTTTGTTCCTGAAATGGGTTTGATTTGTCTTTGGGTGCTGCTTTTATCTCATAAGTTTGTTATGAATTTGAAGGAGTGACTTTTTTCTAATTTCTAATTCGAGAAAGCAAATCACATGCTTCAACTGATTGATTATATATCTCAGGTGATAGCGTATATGATCAAGTTGATAAGTTATGTGTTTGAAATAATATGTCGGGATCTTAAATTAGTAAATTGTGTATAAGTCTTTTTTTTTTCAGACTTTTTGTTCGATAATATGACATCTCATTTACTCAGTCGCAGTGCTCAAAAACGAGCATTTTTCTCTTTCAATACGATCTTTTGGGTTAGTATTTTGTATAAACCAATAATTTTAACATTTTCATATTTCTTAATTGCATCTAGTTCAGTGGTACTTGATATTTGTTACATATTTGGTTGGCGATTTTCGGAATCAATTTTCAGAATCAGTTATAACATATTGTAAGTGCATCCTGATCATCGGTTGGATTAGGCAAGATATGTTGATTAGAATAGCTGTTCTTTTTTAAAATGTCATTCTGTGTTCGTTACAGATTTTAAATCATATTCTCCATCATTGGAGGCACATTATGCTGCCTGCTTAAAAAGTATTGGTAATCAGAAGTTAATTTTAATATTTCAGGTTCTTGGTTTCGGTTCCTTACTGATCGGCTTGTGGTCTTATGTAACAAAGCAGACATATGTAGATCTTATTCCATCATCTTATGGTACTCTTTCTGCGGTAGGCTTATGTATTGCGGCTGGACTTACAGTGATTATCATTACATTTGTTGGTTGTTTGGGAGTATGGATTGAATCGCGCTTACTTTTGCTTGCCGTAAGTTGTTTGAATTGAAGAATTCCATGGTTCATAGAAATCTTTTCCTCATTTAATGCTGCTGAAATTTAATTCGCAAAAATTGAAAGTTGGAAGACTGTACTGCTATCTCTTTTGGTGATGTTAAACTATAAACTGATGGTGATGGTTTTGGACACACTATTTAATACGACATCTTTCAGTATATATTTTTCATCTGCCTTCTGTTAGCTGTTCAATTCGTAGTGAGTATCCTTACGTTGAATTACCAGTCGGATATTTATCGACGTGTCCGCATTGAAATGGAGCAAAGCTTAAAGTATCAAGGGGAAGTGTTCACGAGCAGTCAATTGACATGGGATAATTTGCAGAAAGTGGTAAGCCTAATTTTCGTTTTATGTAATGCATTGATTAATACAAAAGAAAAGAAATTTCAAATTAAATGTCTTTGTTTCATATTGCTTCTAAATCTTGTAGTTTCTCTGTTGCGGTGTAAATGGTCCGGCAGATTGGTTTGATGATCAAAAGTGGTCAAACAGTTCTTACGTTCCTGATAGTTGTTGCAATAAACTTTATTTCAATCATAATTCTTCGATGGGTTGCGGTAAAGACAAAGAAAATTGGGAGTTTTGGTTCCAACAGGTAGGATTTTTAATTTTTTGTTTATGGATAAAAAATTCATGTCACCGATTTGTAACGAGTCTTTGCATTTTTTTCAATTTGAGTAATTTTCAAAAACGTCTAATTTCTCTTTAGCAAAAGGAATAAATTATTTTGCGGTTTTTTCAGGGTTGCAGTGATGTTTATGCGAATTGGATCTTTGAAGAAATTAAAATTGTGGCCTACATTGCTTTAGTCTTCATTTGCATTGAGGTAAAAAGTTTTTATTTAATCTGTCGAAAAAGCTTCCTTCATCCTTGATCACAATCATGTTCTTTAAAGACACTTTTCGTTTTTAAATACTCAACGATTTAGAAAGATTATGCGGCAACGTTCTATGTAATGCCTTTAAAAGTCGAGTTTTCAACGTAAATGTTCAAGTTCCATGCAGTTCGATAATTAAATTTAAATAGATTGTAAGGTTTCTGGATTTACTGCTTATCAAATCCAATTTAGTTTCTCCTTTTGGTACTGGCAGTTCTCATATTTCGATCGGTACGTAAAAGCCGGATGTCGTACAACTGCTCCAGTTCTGGTTACCATTATTCAAAAGGAATTAGTGTTAAATCACATCAGAAAAAGTTAAAAAATTCCTTTTCTCGCAGTTAGGTGCTATATACATTAACAGTATTTGTACATTGAGTGCAAGCGTTGAGTTGTTATTAAAATGATGCACCGTTCTTCCATTTATTTGTTCAGCTTTCCTTAAATTGCATTTATCAGTTTACATTCCGACATAAACTTATGGAATCTGATGACACTATGTTTCTTTTTAAAAGCTCGTTTGTTTTACTGTTCCGTTCCTCATACAACTACTTCTGTGTAGAAATTTCATAATATGGTTAAATCACTCTCATCTGATCTCAGTTTTTAAAACTGTTGGCTTTTGTTTTTCCAACTTATATCTGTGTATATGCTCCATTATTCTTGCTTCATCGTTATTCTTTGCCTTCATATCATTGTTTCGCTTTTTTCGAATTTCTGGGAATTTCCAAGATTGCTTATACTGTATGTATTTTTCTGACTATCACGGTTTTAGATTTACTGCTTAACAAACAGTAAACTGACATCTCTGTTCATTACATGTAAACTTGATATTTGAAAATGTAATATCTCTGTGCAATGTTGATGATATACGATATATCCTTATACTATAATCGTTCTCCTTGTATATTTCGCTGTTTTATGAACGAACGCATTCTCATTGTTGATGGTTTTATGAAATTGAAGGATAAATGTTTCTATTCCAAATTTCTCTTCCATGCCGTTCTGGAATTCTTGCTACATTCAGGTTTAAAAAAGAATGAAATAATAGCTTCGATTATAAAAATATGTCAAGTTATGCATGCAACACATGCTAGTGAAAATATTGGTGGTCAATTTTTCCTCGGTAATGATAATTCCGGATTTAAATGTAGGCATAGTTACCTTGTATTGCTCTTTATATTTTTGAGAGGAAAATAAACCCCTGAGAAATATCTTGGAAATATTCAAAATCCATCCTGGATGTCATAAAATTCCGATGAAACAGTGCATCAATATGTGATTTATTACTAAGAATTGAAATGCATGCATGCATACTTTTTTTTATTCGCAACAAAAACTTACTGCAAAACGACAAGCTCTCTTCTCTTCTCTTCCCAATTAACTTAATTCTTCCTCACAACTATCGTCTTGCTGATGTTACCATTATGTTTACCAAAAGTAAAAAATACGGCAAAATAAAAAATAGCAAAGTGCATATATGTATGTATGTATGCACATATCTATATGTATGTATGTGTGTGTGTGTGTGTATGTAAACAATATTTGAAGAAAAAATGTAAAAATAGGAGGTTACAGGATGGAAGAGGAAGAGAGGAAATTCGAAGAAGTAAGTAAAGAACAAATTAGAAGCAATGAATTTACAGTGAAAGAAGTATCCTCGAATAGGATCGGTTATATGAGAGTAAAAAATCCGGCTAATGAAAATGATTGCAAAATGTGAATGGTAGAATTGTCGGAGAAATAAACTATCCGAATAAAGTCGGGAAGCAACCATTTCTAGCAATTGATGATGCATTCCGGAACCGGTCGAAGTATCTCTATTGAAAAGTAGATATGATGATAGGGAGGTGGTAGAGAGGGAGAAGCAGATTGTTTGCTTAAAGAAGGTAAGGGGAGGGGAATGAAAATGATCGGAGGGGAAAAGGTGGTAGAAAATGGAGACGGGTAGGGTAAAGTAGTTAGAACCAGAGAATTGAAATCCTTGATTGGTTATGTGGTAGTGATCGTGCTGCTGCTGCTGCTGCTGCTACTGATAATAATAATAATGATGATGATGATAATAGTGATGGCAATGATGATGATGGTAATAGTAGTAGTAATCATTAGTTATAGGGTAGTTTTTTTTTTTTCTTTTTGGATTTTATTTTCTCAATTCAACATTGATCGTTGCCCTTTCTAAAATGTAAAATGCTTCAACTATTCTTTTTAATTTCTGCTTTTTTTTTCCCAAAAATATCATTTTAATGTATACGTACGTACATACGTGTATCCACAGCCACATACACACACATACATATACATACATACATACACGTACACACACACATAAATATATATGTAGAGGGAGGGAGAAAGAGGACATGTGTACACGCATATGAAAATATCCATTTGAAATTTACAAGAAAAGGAAAACGAAAACAGTTCAGCAAAATTGACATTTGTCTTCGTCACCTCTTTCCGTTTCCATTCATTCCAATGTTTTTTCTCTTTCATCCTTTCTGTTTTGCTTCTTCATTCAATCATTCAAACTTTTTCCTGTCCCATCACTACATTACTTTTGTATTCCTATATTCTTCCTGTCGTACATTTCAATAAAATATATATATATATACATATTATTTGGCTTATAAAATTTTGCAACAAAAACCCGAGAATTATCTGTTAGAGAGGAGTAGGATAAATCTTAATCTTTTATGATCTATAATATGGTAATGGGATGAAAAGGCGGTGAAAAAAAAAAGAGAAAGGAGATATTTGTTCTATTTTTGGTGGCGGCATTTGGAGAATGATCATTTAGTTCATACAAAAATAGCATTTGAACAAAATGGATAATCATTTTGACAGTAAGGATTGGATCATCTTTCTTTCATCTCTGTGATTAATTTCAAAAATTTTCCGAAATGTAATCAGAGGAACTTTTTTTTTTCTTTTTTTTAATCTTTAAGTGATTAAGGGAAAAAAAAAAATAATGTGTCGTACTTTCTTGAGTAAGAAATGAAGTCACTGTTGGATAAAAAAAAAAAAGGGAAAAAAAAGAAAAAGTGGAACAAGGAAAATAGGAAATAATATTTAGAAGAGTTCATTCCAAAGGACGAATCCTTTGGAGCTTGAAAATTCTATTCTTGCTAATTTAAAGCAGTAAATATCTCTCTATTCTCTCTTCCTTGTTTTTTCTTTTTTTTTTTTTTTTTCTCAATTATCCTTTACATTTGAAATGTTTTGGAAGTGGTGCATGTTGTTATTTTTCTATGCTTCAAAAGATTAGGTATTGCATTATGCTTTTCAACAAGTTTCCAGTTGGACAGATTCTCAAGAATATCTACAACAGAATTTATAGGAGAAATTTATATTTCCCACATATAAGAAGCTCGTAGTTTCATTAGTTCTCGTTTTTTTTTGACAACAAATTGATAATTGCAGGCTCGATGTTAGGAGGGAGAAAAAAAAAATACTCGAAATAATAAAAAAAAAAGTACTCGAAATTGTTTCTCGTTATTTTGCAGCTGTTTGAATCATTGTTAAGGTAGGGGTAAGTACATGTGATTTATATGTAGTTGAAGTACAATAACTCTCGTACCCTTTTACCCTGTCAATGCTTGTCAAACATTTTTTATGAGCCATCTCTGTTGGCATTCATTGTTGCTTTTGTCTTACTTTTTCATTTTATTTGATTGATTTTGGGTAATTATCAGCTTAACGGATCCAAAACATAAGATTGTATTTATCTCCTCACCGTTTGTACCCCTACCCTCACTCTCTGTTCATCTTCCACTTCATTACTTTTCGTATAGTTTGTTTAAATTTAAAACCATTCAAACTTTTGATTGATAAATTGATTTTGCATATGTATATTTAGCCCGTCGAATTATCTCGTTTACTGCGCAATATTTTCATTTAATTCAAGATTTTATAAATTTGAATTTCATAAAATCCTAGCTAACACTGATAGGTGATGCATTAGGATAAATATAATGTATGATACTGCATGGTAATAGCAACAACTATGTAAAAGTAAAATACCTTATTGCAATAATGATAATGATAAAATAACAACAATGACAGTAATAAATAATATTAATAATAATGAGAATAGAGTAATAATAATAATAATAAATAATACTATTATTATGTATTATTATTAATTATTAATCATTAATTATTAAATTATAAAACTATTATTATTGAAGAAGAATTTATTAATTTGGATTTGAAACGGGACGATGAACCTTTCCATTCATTAAATAGTTTTTCTTCCTCTTCTTTCTCCCTCTTCTTCATCCACATCTCTTTCTCATTCTCTCTTTTTTCAATATTATCTGACAGATATGTGATTGCACTAGTCGTCGCAATCGACACTTTTATGCCCTGAAAGGAGTGAAAATGTTAGGCAGTTGTTGTTTTTATTGGAATTATTAGCTTAGTTAGCTTATTTTCTCCATTTATTCCTCATTGACCTTCGGATTCACTCCTAGAACTGTCATAATGCTACTTATCTTCTCCTCTCATTAAAATCCAACCCTAAGATTATCAATCAAAATTTGTACTGTGATATATACACAATTATTTATACATCTCTCTCTCTCTCTCTTTCTCTCTCTGTGTATGTTTGTGTGTGTGTATGTCCATGTATGTGTATGTATATATTTATTGTAAAAAATTAGATGGTATATTTTAAGTAATCCTTTCGATATTTCCTCATTATTTGTTGACAAACACAAATAGCTAAATGATACGATATAATTAATCTTTCATAATTTATTAATATTATTTCCACTGTGTTTGTATTTATTTTATTTTTATACTTTACGATAGTTGCGATTCAAAAAGTGCTAGCAAAAACTTTAAATTAGAAAATATTCAAATTTTTGATCAATAAGAAATAAAACGTTACCAGGAATGTTATTCAGTGATAGAAAATTTAGGTGAATAGAAGACAAAACAAACAAAAGAAGAAAGCAAGAAAATGAAAAAATGTTTTTCATTGTAGAAAATTTCATCGTTCCACTTGTCAGTTTCTCTCAATTTGTACTTTCCGATCGTCACCATTACCTAAAAATGGAGCTATTCGAATGTAATACATTGTTTTTCTTTTGAGGCAAAAAAAATAAGGAATCATTTCAGGAAGAAACCTGGAAAAAGAAAAGAAATGATGGTTTATGGATAACTGAAATTTACAAAAGCAGAAAGGAATGTCGTAATAACTGATATTTATTACCTTACCATATTATTTTTGATTTTATCAACTTATATAGCCAATGTAAACACATAAATGTCATAGACATACATGATATTCATAAAAGCTATAATTTGCAACTTTGTTTTTTTTTAAAGCATCGAATAATCAACTATTTTGCTGTCAACCACTGATCGGTTAGACTGTCATCTGCTGCTCTTCTTGTACTCTGCTAAATAACGATTGAGAGAAGTCGCAATTGATCCATCATCGAATACGACGCATTCTAGCGCATTTTCTGTACATATTCCACGACCAATACCTATTTCATCTCAACATACTGACATTACCTCTCACGCTAACCAGTTTAACCCCGCATTCATCTATCCATCGGTGCATTTACCGTGTCCCCAGACGAGAACCGATTATTTACCAGCAAACGATTCACAACAACAGGTACTGATATTATCAATCTATCCATATACAAATATATTTCTTTCATTTTCATTTCGTCTCTTTGTTTTTCCTTTCGGTAATTAATTACCATTCATCACTTCGTTTACATTATCATCTATCATTGACACACTTCATTAAATTACCGCAATCTGTTCATTTCTCCATTTACGTACCTTATATATGTATAACGTATAAACATCCAAATAATAAGTGCATCATTTTTTTTTTTTTTTTTTTTTTTTTTTTGTTGTTGTTTAGTTGCAGTAGTTTCATATGGCAAAAGCATAAAGGTATAAAAAGAAATGTACAGATTATATTGTTATGAAATATATTACTAATCGAATATTGTTGGATGAGAAGTACTGACGACAAGGATATAGTGGAATATAAATAAATCATGAAAAACATTGATTTAGATAATGATAATGAAATCTGTTTACATAAGATATTTCACTGATGAGTTACATTATTCATTTACAGTTCAACTAATAATAAAATAATAATAATAGATGGCAACGACTGTCAAAGATTGTTTGTGAGAATTTGAAATTTTTCTTTTTTCTATTTTACTGCAACCATTCAGCCTATTTTAGTATGAATTTATAGTTTTTCTCTTAACATCGAAGAACGAGGAAACCTGTTGTTTTTTTTTTTTTTTTCTGCAAGAGATAAACAAAACATTTTGCACACATACACTATGGCTTACGTAAAACTGGCGTTTCGCATCATGATAAAAACTGTTATAAAATTTGTAACTGAGAACGATTGAATGCAAATACGATAGCAGTTTGTGTTACTTCAAATAGATTGCAAATTTGATGGCAATTCTTTGATCCAAATGCAGCGTTTTTTCATTTTTATTCATTCTTAACTTTTTATTTACTCGTTCATATATTTCCCTGCTTCAATTAACCTTTTATGTATTTGTTTATTTATTTAAAGAAGAGTGAAAAAAAAAAAAAAAAAAAGACTTTCCTGGCACCTCATGAATCATACTTTTAACATTTTATTTACCGTTGATGACCAATATTGACAAATGGCGTGTAGCGCTAAGCTATTTCATCTGTATTTTCTCTTCGAAACGAGGGGACGAGAAGATTTCATCTATATTTTCTCTTCGAAACAACTGGGATATTAAATGCAAAAAGTTAATGGTAAAATGTTTACTGGAAATAATATGCTGTTTTTTTTTTTCTTGCTATATTTTTTCCTTGCAATATATTTAAGAGGGATTTTTGAAAATGGATAAATAATATGCAATAATCCTTTTCATATTATCATTAATAAAGAGAATCAAATATAATTGCAGGCTTGTATAGCAGAGAAGCATACTGCAATAAGTCCTGTAGCGCCGATTGCAGCGGCGGCGTTTAATCCGTCGCTGATGTGCTTACCGGCGCTATTTGATCACTTTGGTGGTGAAATATTACGGACGCATATGAATCCAGCAGCTACACAGTTTAAGCCAATACCGAACAATGAACGTGTCGATCTAACACGATTTCTTTCTAAAGAACCACAGGTGAAAATATTTTATACTACTGTTTTTCTAAATAAATTAATTATTTGTATGACTGAAAGTCGAAAATAAACTTTTTTATTTGAGTAATTGAAAATTGAAGAAATAATACGGTAGTGAAATTATTATCACTTTTTCATTTTTTTTTAAACTATGTAAATACTTCGAAAGCAAAAGTAATATATGGATGCCAAAAAATAATATATGTTATTTTCGAATAACTTAAAGGAAATGTAATAGTCTATTTTATTTAAATTAAGATAATCGGCTAAAATCTTCTTCTCTTCACACATTATAATATATGCCAAAAAAGAGAAAAAAAAAATCAATTAAATGATAATTACTTTTATTGCGTAAATTTATCATCGTTTAATTATAATGATGAAAAAAAAAAAATGAAAGCAAGAGAAAATTATGCCTTGTCTTGTTTATTAGAAGTAAATATGCTTCTTTTTTAAAAAAAAAAAAATAATATTTGTGATAGGCAAAACGTTAACAAAAAAAAAAAAAAAAGAGAGAACGAAAAAGAACTAAGGGAAAAGAGAGAAAAAGAAAGAGGAAAAAGAGAACGAATAATATGAATATTAACTAATATTCAACAGAGAAGAAGAAATGTTTTCGTTTTGAAGTACATTTGCTCTTTCTATTTGTCTTATTATTTAACGACATCCTTAAGTATGATTATTTCTAGTTAAGTAAAGGAAAGAAAGGAGAGAGAAAGAGAAAGGGAGAGAGAAAAAAAAAAAGAGAATGACAAAATTATTTTCGAATGAATTAAAGGAAATGTAAAAAAAGTATAGGGAAAAAAGGTGTTGAGAAAGGAAAGAAAAGGAAAAAATGGATAATAATCATGATTTATTTTAGGAATGGACTATGGGTGATGTTATTGCATGGTTATTACATGTTGCTAGACAGAATGGTATTCCATTTGAAGATTTAGAAATGCAAAAATTTGCAAACTGTACTGGTATGATGTTGATTCAAATGCGTGAAATCGATTTCAAACAACGTGATGCCGTATATGGCTCATTATTATATGCTGAATTCAGGAAATTATTGATAGGTTTGTATTTCAATTGTATTGTATTTCTTCATTTGATGCAATACTTTAAATTTCATCAGCAGATGAAATTTGATATTAATTAGTATTTTTTGATTTTAAAATTAAATGGGAGCAATGTTATATATTTTCCATTTATCAGATCCATTATTTGCTACTTTCATAAAGTTCTAATTTTCTCTATTATTAAATTTTTACTCGAAAATATATTTCGAACGTATATTTATTAAAATTTACTGGTTATTAATACCAATAATTGATTTCAGAAGAAAGATTAGCTGATGAATGTGTTTATAAATTACCAGAAAAAGCAAGTACATGTCGAGTACCGGATGACATTAGGTTTTTGACTTGTTATTTATTTCCTGTTGGTTGTTTGAAGTTGATTGTTATAAGTTAAAAGTTAAATTTATATCAGGATTGTTTTATTTGTTGTCCGAAGGGAAGAGAGAGAATATGTAATTTCCAGTGATTTTTTGAATTTAATAAATTTCAATGAAACCGATTTTAATGCTTGATATATAATATTTCAGACTTTCCTGCATCAGTAGTGGACTGTCCCCCAATACAAGTACTTTATCTTCACTTCTGATGCCTGATAGTAACCCGATCAGTTCATCAAGCATGCAACCTTTAGATACATTATCTCAAGTCGGCAGTGATGTCGCTGGTACCTTCAATTTCAATTCACCTAGTTAGTAGTTAACATTTCTCATTACAGATGTTGATGTTCAATACTTGGAAATATTGAGTAATGCATTATCATAAAATTTCAGTTATAACATGATGAACGATAGTTATATGAAAGTTAAAAAGACAGTGAAAAAAACAGAGTTGCATTATTGGAAACAATAAACCTTTGAATAGCAACGGAATTTAGTAAGGATATGTACTCAAATGAATGGTAAACGTATAGGCAGAGGTTATTCGAATAAATCTTCAAAGTAATATCTAGAGGGAACAATTATGTTTTTTTTTTTTTTTTGGTATGGCAGCTTTGGTGCTGAAGCGTTGATATAACAGGTTAAAATTGATATGAAAAAAGCAAGAAAATCCTTAAATAATAATTTGTAAAGACGTTTTGCATTCCTCGATATTAAATGCAGTTTTTAGTTGGATCCGATGAAACTTTCATGTTACGACCGACATATTGCAAAGTCCGAAAAAATAAGGATGGAAGACCAAGGAAGCACTCACAACACACCAAAGGGAACAAATTATGGGAATTTATACGTGACGCTTTGAAAGATCCCAGTACTTGCCCAAGTGTTGTACGGTAAGCATTTTATGCCTTTTTTCATTTCATGAATTTTTTTGAAAGTATTGTTATAAATTATTCATAATATCGTTATCATACGAACATGTAGATAACATTTCTATATATATTTGGTAAGCTTCTTACGTACAAGTGATAGGATTTATCGGACACATCAAAAGTAAACTGATGATGGAAATCGGGAGTTGATACAGGTAAATTCAGATTAAATAAAAGAGAAAGAATTTCTGGAGATAAAGGAAAAAAAGTTGGAAGGAAAATTGGCAACAAGAAAATACGATATAATTTAAAAAAATGAATTTTTGATTGATTTATAGATGGGAAGACCCAGCAGAAGGCGTTTTTCGAATTGTTGAATCGGAAAAATTGGCACAACTTTGGGGTGAACGGAAAAACAATCAGAAAATGACTTATGAAAAACTCAGTCGAGCTATGAGGTGAAATTTATTAGTTAATAGAAATCATGAGATTTTGGAAGACTGTTTCACTTATTAAGCTATAAAAGTATTAGGACTTTTTCACAATGATTTCATACTTAATTAACAACAGGATATTTTAAATTGTGAGCACTTATTGGAGTGATACAGCATATTAACAAAATATACAGTTTTGTTTCCAGGACATATTATGAAAAGCGGATATTAGTACCAGTACCGAAAACAGGGCTGTATCCGAAGAAGTTAGTGTATAAATTTGGACCAAGTGCTCTAGGTTGATATGTAGTGCGCTTGTTATTAAATTGAATACTGTAAGCTTTTGTTCCTTACTGTTTACATCGATTTGGAAATTTTTTCTTTTTTGCTGCTTATACCTCCTACCTCCTATCACTTGTTGTTTATATTTTTCAGATTTTTTTTTTATCATTTCAATTGTTTTTGTTGCACAAAAATGAGCTTCATTTAATTCTGATATATATGTTCACACAATAGTCAGATCTGTTTCATGTCATCTATTTAAAACCAAATATGCAAGGTTTGAACTGGATGGACAACAATTTCATTTTTATTGATGTCTTGATATTTTGCAACATAAAAGTCACAGTTAGATTTTGCTAAAATTAATCTTAACTGGATAGCCCGATATTTAAGGTCATTGTTAATTTAGATATCGACCACTGTTAAAAATTTGTTTTGGACTTTCTTTTGTTTTTGCCTTCATTTTAGCATGGCTAGAAATTTACGGACTTTAGAGTTCAGTGTTGTAGCCCAGTCGAAGAAATCTTGTTTTGGATGCGATTTTTTTTTAAAAAAACTCTGGATTTGTAAAATATTCTATGTTCTGATTTTTTCTAAGAATGAAAATGTCGAGACGGAACTAGGATCCCAGGAAATTTCTAATTTCCTCATGCTCCTTCACTTACACAAATTGTTTCTAGAATAGTCTCCCAAATGCTGCTATGAAGACGGCTTCATGCTGCAATATCCTTTGCACTATTACTTCTGATTTAATATTTTGTTATTCATTAAGGGTTGTAACACCCTAAGACTTCAGTTGCAACGAAATTTGAAAAATTAAATTAGATTCACTATAAAAGAAGTCCGTGCAGTGACAGAGTATATATCCCAATCATTCAATTCCAACTATTCCAAATTTACTTCTACCGTCTCATCCTCGACGCTAATGATCATTAAAATTATATGGATGCATCCATTTCTTCAAAAAACTAATATACTACTGCCCAAATAATGAGGCCGGGGGAACATGAAGCTTGATCTTACATGTGAAAGATGTGGCAAAAAATCCGGGCCGAATTTCGCAGAACTGTAGCTTGAGTTGGACCTGCAGCAATCGAAGGAATTTGAAAAACCTTTAGCAATTAAAGATCAGACAGCAGAGTTCCAATGTCGTACTTAAACTAGGATAAGAGTACGTGTGCGTACATTCCTGCGTATGAAACATTTGGCAGTTACTTTATTACAATTTAATGATGTGTTTCAATCTCAAACTTTAAAGCACAGACAGAACTGTTGGAAAACATTGATGAGAGGCGATGTCTACTATTCACAGATTATAATGGTGGTAGAAAGTGACTGCAGTGTGGAGGATCTTCCTCTCAAATTGGTCAAGATCAAAAAGAACCGAAGACATCTACTGAGATACTACTCTGGTCCACTGTAGACCTGAGAAGCGAATCCGTAAACTATCGACCCTAGAGTTTCACAATCACCCTTTCCACCACATCGCATCATAATAAGAACATATATTAGTACCTTTTTTGGTGAACTTCTAAACAATTTCTGTTAGGAAATGAAGATGAGACTTTCCGTATTATGAATGCAGCAATTTGATGAATATTCAACATTTAGCAACAAAAGTTTTTGATCTTTTGTTCACCAAAAAATATTTAATGAACTACGAAAAGTGCAGTGTGGAGGATCTTCCTCTCAAATTGGTCAAGATCAAAAAGAACCGAAGACATCTACTGAGATACTACTCTGGTCCACTGTAGAGCTGAGAAGCGAATCCGTAAACTATCGACCCTAGAGTTTCACAATCACCCTTTCCACAGCACTCGATGATTACTGTCACAGTCTTTTAGGAAAAGCGGTTTTTCGACACTGAAACTATCGCTAGATATGATAAAGTCTGAAAAATTAACTCACCTTCAAATAACTAGATGTCTTTCGACTCCTTATCTATAATGTATACAATATTTTAAAGAGATCAATGGAAACAGTATAAAATACGTGAAATTTTAAAAGCATTCAAGACAACGTTATCCAAAAAATATAGGTTTAATCAAAAACTATTAACATTGCTCAGTTTTCGTTAAATGTAATAAGCGACATGATAATAAGAATGCTGGGCTGGAACTATTGATAGCGTTAGGTCAGCACGTAAAATATTGCCTGAAATAAAAAAACCTGAACTGACGTGGCTCTTTGAACCTTCATATACAATAACCTCAAAAACAGAAACTCTCAGAGTATGACTTCACAAAAATAAACATGGAACAAAGTAAAACAAGATCAAAAGCATCACACACCTGAAATCTGGATAATTCTAACCGTTTCTTGTGCCGAATACTGCAATAAATTTGTGGTCAAAGCCATAATAATATAATGCGAGAATTCGAATACAAAGACATAAAATGCATCCGGCATGTTGGTAAGCCTTAAAACTTGAAAGAAACTATTGTCATAAAGAAAACAAAAAAATAAAAGAGGATTAATTGAAGTTATATTATTAAAAATCAACTAAATTTGTATTATATAGAGTCAATAGACTTTTTCACCCAATTATTCTAGCGTATACCCTTAAAGTAGCATAATTGCAAACCCATTACGGTCATACATGAATCTCCTGGAGAAAATAACAATGCCAATCAACAAATCAATCCTTCTAGTATATCTGTTGATTGAATTATGAGTGATCTTGACGGCTTTTACTTAAATCGACGAACAAACGAGAACATCTTATAGAACTGTAGCGAGTTTCCGTGAAAATGTTTTGCTGCACAATGAATTTACCTCAGTCTTCAATCCTACATCGAGAATACCTAATTTGATTTCATTTGAATTCAGACTGCAACATGTTTACAGATATTTGAAGAAAACGATACCTTTCAACTTTTTTGTTAAGTCTACTACGCATTTTTTCCCCAAAATAACCAAAAGCAGTAATGATTTATAAGCATACGTAAGCATTTTCATTATCAATACGGCGAACTAAGATCGGTGGCGGAGCGCCATAGTGGACTATGATCCAAATGCGAAACCAGCGGCTGCACAGTCAATTCAACACGAAGTTTCTCAAAATCACGAGAGAAACTACAAAGAAAGTTCATTATTGTAATCGGTTATAACAAAATATATATATATATATATATATATATATATATATATATATATATATAGAAACCATACTTTTTAAAAGAAAAAAATCTGATTCTATGAACCATGATTTGTTAAAACTGAACTGTGTTGGTAATAATACATAATTCCTATCCATACTGAATCTAATCGAGATATAGAAACTGTAAAATATTAGGGTCTTGAAGAGAAATGAAAGCGTTGTTGAATATTCTTCCAACAAGAAAATTCTATCAAGCGAACTGATCGAATGAAATATGCTGTGATACTAGAGAAGAGAAAAACTGTTATCAGTATTAAAATTAGGACTTTTTCATTGCTGGTAATGCTGGTGTAATGGCACAAATCCTGTCAAACATCTCAAATACTTCGACAAAAGACAAACATTTTCCAATAACTTTCTGTCAGAAATGTTGTAAATATACCTCAATATAAATAACACATTGCATATTGCCAAACACCATTCAGCAATAGCAGAAACGCAGTGAAGATTGTAACCCTGAAAGCTAACTAAACGAATACCAGTAATTATCTTTTTATAAATATTGACTATGAAATACAAAATAATTTGTATCTACATACCACAAACCAACATATTTAATTCTGAGAATGAAGAATTGCTAACTTTATGCCAGAAAATATTAACTTTTTATTCATTAGATTTCTGACAGCAGTCTGATTATTCCCTTTAAATCACCACATAGTGAAACTCATCCGACCTTATGACCTCCTAGATTTAGTTAAATATGAAACAGCATTTTCTCAATCTGTTCAAAACTCTCAGCAGCACGACTCGTCACTCATCAGTGTTATTAGCATCAAAATTCTCATACGCAGAAGCAGATTCAAGTTAGTTTTAGCAGAGAACAAGAAAATTTTTGAAAATATTTCATTAATGGAGAAAATCTTACGGGTTGATTTGTTTTCCTGGACCAAGGCCTCGGTGTAGGTAGATCGGGGTAATGTTTGTGAAATTCATTTGATGCAGCTATACCAAAAGAAAGAACTAAAAATATACTCAGTTATTCGACACTAGTCTCTCCCCTTTTTAATTTCCTTTATTCTCTATCTAAATGGAAAGGAAATGTTACTTTTGGATAAGATCTTAAAGTCTTTTGTGCCCGACTTCAATGTTATATATGAAATTGCTGAACAAGTAATTTTTATTTCCGTGCTACTCATTACGAAAAAAAAAATGAAAGCAGTCATTTTTGTTAAACAAAGTTTTAAAAAACTTCCTGAAATTGAAAAGTGGTAACCTGTGATGAAACACAGTATGGCAGATATTGCTATTGCACCACGGATAAAACCAATCCGACGACTGTTGTATAATGGACACATGTAAATAGTAAGACAAAATTGCAAAAGCATATAAAAACAACCGCATCCGAAACATAAAAATGCTCCAGTTAAATGTACTGTAATAACGGCAGATTCCTAGAAAACTGCGTTATAAAAATCTTCGTTTAATTTTTGCTTAAATTTAAATCCAGTTTAGTTCAGTTACAGCTTGAAATAAGGAATGTTATCACAATACTCTCAAAGTCAAGTACTGTTTAATGACTGATTTGACTTACAACTTGAATTTAGACCACCTAGCTTAGTACGTTTCACTCTTTTGGAAGTGACCCTTGCTACCTACCGTACATACATAAAAAATTTTCAATATCTAGGAAATAATGCAATAAAATATTTAATAATGAGGCAGTGAGTAACTCACGCCACATAATTCATCATAAAGGCTGACCGCTAATGAAATGTTAACTTTAATTCACCCACAAAAAAAGAGAAGACATTTTACAAAGCTACACTAATGTTCCTTTTTGGAATTAAAAATAAAAGGCCAAACAAATGACAATCTTAACATGCTAAGATCTAACATGGTTAAACATACTTGAAAGTTGGCGACAATGAACATTCCAATTCCACCAGTCATACCAACAACCAGTGTAAAAATATTCAAACGTTTCAGGAGATGGTCTGAATCACGATTGAGTTCAACTACCAGTGAGTACCTAAATTTGCTACATACTTTTAACCTCAGATGAAATCTCTATCAATCTTAATATCACTTTGTAAGCTATATACAATCTACTTAAAACCTTTTTAAGGTATGCTAAAGTTACATTTTCTTCCTTTTGCGGATTTTTTTATCATTCCATAATTTCTTGGTCATTCCACCTAACTCCCTACTTACTATTTACACATTCTACTTAACTTCAAACAACGAACCTTAGAAATTTTCCGTCAGTAAAAGTTAACTCATTTTTCCTTCAACCATGCTTTCATTTGCACCCAAAATTAAAGTTCCCATACTTATTCTAATAAAGTGCACTAAAATTCAAGGTCATCTCAAAGTTAAGCAGCCAATCATCCCTCAATTTCAACTGTATTTATTACTGAAGCCATACTGAAATCGAACCAATCTAAAATTAAATACCTCAAATAAATGATAAGCATTATCAGAAAGGAGCATAAATTGAGCATCATGCTAAAGAAACATGACTCTGGACGATGATCACCAGAAGATGAAATGTACGGAAAAACTGGATCTACATCACCTTGCCATACTGCCAGTACATAAGATGCACCTACAATCATTCGTATTCACAATATCTAGGAGTAGTGGAAATTTCTGGAAAAATAATCAAAATGTAACGCGAAAATATAAAGGAAATCTTGAAACTTACTTAGCATTAATGTAAAGAACATTGCAAAAAAGATAGGAAGATGACCAGCAGCAAGAAGGCCAAATTGTAACATAATTTCCTCTCTGCTTCTTATTCTTCTCCAATTTCTGCAATCATCTCACAAAACTAAAACTAAATTTGTTGAAATTTAACAACAGATCCTTTAATAAACGAATAACTTAACGACCACGTCTCAACTTACAAATGAATCACTCAACGTCTACACATCTCACGTAATCATGAAAATTCGCCTCCTTCTGCACTGTAAAATTCGGACGAGCGCAATGCATATATGATATTGCGGGATGACAGGATGCTCACATTCAGGTGCAGTAGATTTGCTGTGGCACTAAGTTGAGAAGTATAAATTATGATGCATTTTCATCTTCTATCAAAATTGTGCGAAATACATTACTGAGATGTTAATTAATTATGTTTAAATTCGAACCTTCTAGTCGTCGATGAATTAGACTTAACATACTGTACGACATTCGTACATAAGTCTCCTTGTGTCCGTAGTACGTTATGTGTTCTTCCTCCTCTCTCATTGAATTATCTAAAAGTTAGCCATTACTAGTTTTTCTTCATACTTTGAATTTATCTGGCAGTTCACTCGTCCATCTCATCGTCCTCTTTTTACTAAATCTGAATGTCTTGTTGTTATTATTTTGTTAAGTGGAGATTCTTTTTTTTTTTTTCACATACTATGCTAAGAAAAGAATGTAAATTCAAGATTTCGTCTTGTTAGGAATTAAATGTTGTTATTTTAATTTCATTTTCATGATTATTATTACAAATTGAATATATAACCTCCCTCATTTTTCTGTTTTTCTTTGTTAATGGCTTTCCTTCGACTTCTAATTCATTTCATTTTCAGTTTTTTTGCTGTTCATTAGAGAAACGTGAATGCCTTTCAAACATTTAGAGAGAAAAGTACCCTTTCACAGCTATCTCATCGCTTCTTCTCTTTTCTCTGCACTCTTAAGTGCTATACATCTATGTATATCCATAAGTTGACATCATCAGCAGTTTACAGATTTGTTATTAAGCTAAGCTTCATGGTTTTAGTGCACCTGTGTCTACTGTTCCAGACGATTGTTTTCCAATATTTCACGCATTTCACTTATTTCACGATCACACGGTTCATTTAATGTGAATTTTCTTTCCATGTCAAATTGCTCCGAATATTATTTGACGTCATTTGTATCCATAATAGGAGATGGAAAACTTTTTCTTTTAGCATGAGTGATTCAGCGACATGCTCGAAATCATATCAAGAATTCGTTAAATTTGGCAAATTCTTCACAACACGTTTGGTAATAGTCTTTGTTATCAAGTGGTAAAGTTTAGCATGTTTTGGATTACGTCCAAATGTTTTAACATAAATCTCGAAAACCTAGAATAACTCGAGATGTCAAACGGAAAGCATTTGTTTTAGGTTCAAGCACTTGTTCAGTCACGTCTTGGTCAGCTGATAGTACAGTCATGTAGTGTATCACCGGATCCTACGGATTGGTTCAGTGTGCGAATTGATGAATTAGGTGAAGTAGCTGCACAGTTACGTACAAGCGTCACAAAGTTAGCATCACATTTTCCTTAGATACTTATTCTGTTTTGTCCGTCTTTCGAAGTTAACTTCCATTTAACACTTTTCCTACTTGTAGATATCCTCCAAACACAAATTGTTTCACTTTGGATTTTCTGCTTCATACTGCTGATGGCGATGTTCTACCTTTGGAGTCCTGGTATGTATCTTCCTGCATTTATTTCTGGGTGACTTTAGTTATCCTCATCGTAAAGAAAAGAAAATGTCAGTGCAATGATTTTATAAGAAAGTCAATTCAGAAATGATTTAAATTTTGGAACTTAGAAGAAAAAGTGAGAATGAGAACTCAGATTTAAATTTTGCAACTTATTTTCAGCACAAAAGTTATTTTGAATCCAGAATTCGTTGCTCTGCGAAATGGATTCATTGTTTCAGGTTAATTTATGGCGAATTGTGATGATATCATTAGATATATCAGTTTCCAGGTGTGTCCGATATGAATCACAATTGACTGATGGAAATGTCAATGTAAGGACCGAATTATACCACCAGTTAGGAACACTTTTGAAATCAGCAATTGTTGCATCACGAATGACTCCAGCCTACCGATATTATGTTCGCAAACAGAGCCCTGATACTTTCATTATTATGTACAGAGTAAGAGTCCCACAATTTTATATTTCATTTGTTATAAAATTGAAAAGTTTTGCATAGTCGACTTGTAACAAAACCGTCATCTTGTAAAATAAAGTAGGTGTTTATTGTTAAGGTTTACGAAAAAGAACCAGAAATGGATTTGGGTGAAGAGCATAAAAAAGTTCGTATTGGTCTAGTAACATCTCCATTTGGTGGTTTTTCTGTTGACCTGCTTTATCGTACAAAGATGGAAATTGACCGGTAAATCATTAAATTCTACTCAGGTGATAGCGTTTTATTATTGCAATATGTTAACTGTGACGTGTTTTTAGGTATTGCATTGTTGTACATTAGTTACGATCGTGATTCTTTTATGTACGAGGAATTTAGAGTGCTTGAAGTTAAGAGCCTTCTCCATTTCCATGTAAGGTAGAGTGCTGTAGTTATAAGTTTTTGTTCGAACTTAGGCACTACTTTAATTTTCTTGGCTTATGATATTTCAGTTTTTTGTACCCTTCTATGTTCTGCACTAATTTAAGGATTACTCCATAATTTAAACAGATTCCTACTAAATTATTTCACTTTTGCGTATTCCAGTACAACAACACAGGAAGTAAATGTAAGTGCCGCAGCTGCATTGGAGAATGTGAACACCAATGAACATCAATCCAAAATAGATATAGATGTCCCAATGTTAATACCGTTCGGTCCTGTTTCTGTTCACTCTACCGAAGTTAAACCGGTTAGTCTGGTTTCAAATCTTATTAAATTTTCATATTAAACTGCGATACAAATGAATTTTTTGAAAATTTGCCAAATTTCGATGGAACCACAAATCTGAAAATCAACAATTAAAAGTATTTTCAGGTGTCGAAGCATGATTTAAAGGTGAGATTTTCAGGAAAAGATTGATGAATTAATGTCAGAAACTCCTTCACGACGTGTACGTTTCCATTTGGGTCATTCGCGATCCTCTTCAGATGATGCTTGCTGTCGTGGTGATGTGTGCAGTGATGAACAAATCTTTGGTAAGTAACTGAGTGATGAGTTAGAGTTAGAATTTTTAATTCATGGAATCACTGTAGCTGTATAAAATTGTATGAACATTTATCGGATGAATTTATTTTTAGGTCTAGACACAAGCAACAGTCAGCCATATAGTTCCAGTTTGCCACATCGATTAGCTTCGGTGGTATGCTCTGTTTCTGAATGTATTGTGAAAGTAAAAGGCAGTCAAATTGTGCAGTACTATTAAGCTAATGTTAGAAATGACAAATTAATATCAAATATCCTTATGCGCTAATTTCACATTGTTATCGTTTTGTAAGGATATGGTTTAGTCAATTGGTTGTGATTTTCTTTCCAGCAGGAAGAATAATTTTTTGTTCCAGAAAAACCGATCAAGGACACATTCATTTCCATTTTCAACTCTGCTTACTACAGTTGCGAATGATTCAATTCCAGGTGAAGGACTTTTAGGATCACTAGAAGACAGTGACAAGATAACACCAACTTCTTCTCCTGGTCAGTTCTTTTTTGGTACATTTGGTTGGTTGAAATTGAATTATTCAGTGAATGTCACGGAAACCACCGGAAGTCATGATTTTTGAAAGGCATCAATTTGTATAACATTGTGGTTTACATTCTTCAGAGCTATGTGCTTATGTAACAGTTTTATCAATGACCTGAATCGTTTAGTTCGTTCTCCATCATCACCACCTACTCTTGTGGCTTCGACGTGTTCTGCAACAATTATACCTAACCATATGCACCAGTGTGCTACTGTTCCTTCTGGGGTAAATTTAATGAATAAGGGAACAAACGAAAAACAGGAAGGTGATTCTGAAGAAACGGAAGTGCAAAGCGATGATGATGATGACGATTTAACAAGTAGCGACGGTAGTTATGTCAAGGTACTCTAAAATTTGTTGGAATTGGTATAGTGAGTTTGGTTTGACATTAAAGTACAAGGTTGTTTGAATACAAAAAGAAAGGGAAAGGAGATATGGTAGCCTTGTTTGAGGAAAGAGGACACTATTTCAAGATTGCGCTAGCAATTATGATTTGATTTTTTACCGTATTAGTCTTCTTCGAGTTAGAATGTATTGTAGCTGGTTTCCATGCACAAATAAAAATTTGACCATATTAGTCTCGGTAAGCAGTTCTGTTTCAGGTGGCATTTGGAAGTAGTGAAAGTTTAGCAGATGGGTTAGGTGAGTTCATGAAACAATGTAGATCGGCTCCAACTCATCTTTCATTTCAAATCGACAGTACGTCTGTCATTCCTGAACTGGTAAATCTTTTGACCGCTTCGTTGTCTTCTGTAAAATCTTTCCCACTAATTCTTTTAAGATGCAAAAATAACAGCGGACAAATAATTCCGAAGCATGGTTGGATGTATGCTTTAAAAACAATCTGTAGCGTATAAGCGCGATGCAGATCGGTTTTTACAAACTGGAATTTTAAACTATTATTCTAATTTACAAAGTAGGGCTCTCTAGTTTATGACCTAGAGATTCAAAGTTCAAACTACTGAAGCCTGATCGGTTGGTAGGTTTGATCGTATCCCTTAAAAGCTGGCATCACGAATTTTTCTGAATACAAATTTTGCGATTTTATTAGATACAGTCACGTTGCTTTAGAGAGAGAGAGAGAAGGATTGTGATTCCTTGATGTTGGTTCTCTTCCATTTCCCTATCATTAGCACTGCATCAAGATGTTAATTGTGTTACTTTTAGCTGGCACAATTTGAAAACAATCAGAAAATTTTCGACAATTTTTTAGAAGAAATCAAAAGAAAAGCAGACAATGAGGAAGACTGATTACAGGTCATATACATTTTTCTGGTTGCTTACTCAATCATATCCGGTGTTGTAAATTATAACTCCATTTCCGCTTCTTTCTAACCCTTAAACATTCTGTGCTCTTTTATCTTGCAAACTGCTTGCTTCCGTCACTTATTTTAGTACTGAGGAAAAAATTTTTTGAAGAATTATCCTCGATTTATAACTTGTTAATCATTGATAGCCTAACTGGAGTGGTTTGATTAAAATAAATCTGTGAAAAAATGCTTAGCCATATCAGGAAAGCTTTTTCGCACGGCTAGTACTTAATGAGTACGAATATTGATAAGGATTGTTTAAAATTCTTGTTCATAACTTAAATTGCATATTCCGTCGCTCAGCTTCGAATTTGTAATCTTCAAGCTTTTAAGTCAAAGTTTATCTTACCGATTAGGGCTAAGGCTTTAAGTAAGCAAACGTTTTTTTCCGTGTTATGCCTTACATTACTGAGCGAAAATTAGAAATTTTCATGCAAAAAACTTTTGATTTGGGCTAAGAAATTCGTTTCCCAGACAATATCAGAAAATATAATGAGAAAACGAAGAACGAAGCTTAAATCAGTGATAATGTTTGGTATATGCTTATTTTCAAATGACTTACCTTCTGTACTTTTTGCATACACTGTGTGTTTTACCTGATTGCTTCAAAATTCATTGCTATTACAGATAATTCTAATAACCAAATCAATGGACTAATAAATTTTTCAAGAAATTTGTGACTTGTGTTTCACACTCGTGCAGAGCATTCTATGAAAAGACTGTGAGGTTACATTTATGGAGGATGGATTATCAAATGAGTATTTAAAATGCCTAAATTTTAAAGTATGAAGTTAGTGCTTCTGCTGAATCTATTGGAATGGTGAGTCTATATTGCTCCTTGATTTAATGACGGGCGTGTTTTGTATCTATCGGTGATTGCTTTCCAGGTAATTTATAGAAGTATTGCTTCCGAAGTTTTATTAAAGGCGATAAGCTATTCAGAGGATTAAGTTTAGAGTTTATTATATTCCCTTGAGTTGTGTCCATTATGATAACTTGAAAAGCTCGAGCCATTGTTTATTTCTTTTTTTTTTTTACTTTCGATTGCAGTTTATCTGCTTTGTAATGCTATTGTTTTAGTTATAAATACTGGTATTTTTTACCCTTCCGTTGTTTGACACATTTTCTAGATCGCCGTCTTTCTGTTAGTCTTTTCTTCGACTTGCAAGATGAATCTTGGTCGTACGGTGCTACAAACACGGTTAATTTATCTCGAAATAAGTTATTTGTCAGAATAATGACAGACTTCAACAATGATGCTAATGGATCGTTCAAATATCTGTGAATGGATCAAGCAATCTTTTGTTATCTGCTAGCTCAATGTTCAAAGATAGAAGGCAAAAAAGAAAATCGAAATAGCTGGTTTAACAAGATAAATAGTTTTATTCTGCAGAATGCTCACATTATATTTGGTTTTTAGAATATATTGTGAAATTAAAAATTTGGTTTGAAAACTTAGTTCAATTGAGAACGTCCTTTTTTTCTCTATTTTGATACATTGACATGACTGATGAAGCATGCCTGCGCTCTAATTTGGTTGCACTATCGACATAAATATTTATAATGTAGTTCATGTTATACTGATGAAATTATTAATTCTGGTCAAATTTTTACCAAAAAAAAAGAAAAAAAAAAGCTCAACTATCACCACAACTTGTTCTAACATTATACTTATTACAAAGATTCTAAACAAACAGCATTTCGAGACTGTACATATCACAGGAAATTGGAAACAAATACACAGGATATTAAAATAAGTTTAAAATAATATGTTTCAGGAATGTTTTGTTTTAGAAAGTTTTTATTTATCCTAAATAGCGATTCTAATCAACTTGAACTAAAATTGAAGATGATGCAGTGAACACTTTTAATCGGTTTATGCGATAGCTAAGATTATTATAATGAAATAAATAGAAGAGAAAAGCAGAAATGAAAAACTGATTTAATTATATGAGCGAAAATAAGATATAACTGGATAGATAAAAATTAATAATGGATATATCAGATTTAAGAAATAATCATTGGACGAGAGAAATGCTCGGTAGTGAGATAGGTCAAATTGGAATAGTGCATTTGTTACTGATTTATATACGATTAAGATGACAAATATTTGCACATTTATGTAAAACTGCAATTTTATTTTGACAGATGGAACAAGTATTCATTTATAAATGGATAACATATTAAGAAGAAGACATCTGGAAACTTTTCCATCATTGTAAACCTGTTAATCGTAATAATTGCAGTGTGGAAAAGTTGAAGAAGAATGAAAGAGGAAAAGAGAAGCAGAATAATTTAAAATAAATCCAATAATCCACCAAATAATTGGTTTGATCATTCACTCTATTACATTTCATTTCTTTTTGCATCTTTTCTATCTTTTTTTTTTTTTTTTTTTTTTTTTTTTGGTCATTTTATTGCAACATTTTAATAATTTTTCAAATAATAAAATTTTTACTATCATTGATAGTATTGTAGTACTGTTGTAGTAAATTAAATTGGTTTTATTTTCCACAAAATAATAAAATTGTGAAAATTTCCCATATATTATCACCATATGTTAATTGTATTGTTATTATCATTGTTATTGTTTAAATTTTCATCACTGTAGCTATTAAGATCTTCCTTCTACTGATATAAGTATCATTAATATGCATCCAATGATATACCTATGTATAACTCATAATGTTTATTTCATGTTATCATTTAAAGTACCATTCATCCTTCATTTTTGTTTTTCTTGATTTATGTATTTGTGTGCTGCCAAAAAAAAAAAAGATTTTATCGTGCCTTGATGATTTGATTCGATTGGCAAAATCGACATTGTGAACATTTGGGAAAAATCGAGTTCTTCGACTTGTGATTTCACTGGATAACTAGATTTCATCAAAGACGCAGTCTCTGTGATTGTTACTATTCATCCTTCTTTTCACCTTCAAAATTTTCTTGCCCTCACAAGAAATTTTTGGGCCTCGATGTTATTGAGATATTTCTTCCTATGCATTACGACGATTATTTTCTGTAAGTTTCATAATTTGTCATTTGTCACCTTTCCTTTTTATTATCTTTTGCTTTCTCGTTTTTCATTTGCACCAATATATGACGGAATATTTCAGCTAAAAAACTTTGCATAATTATTGATCAGTAGGAAAATTTTAATTATTGTTTATAATATAAGAGATTATCGCTTTTTTTTTTTTTTTTTTTTGCTGTGTAAAATTAACAGATATATCTTTGAGCTGTATTAATGCCAATGATGTCAAGGAATCTCAATTTCTTCTACTCATCTTTTTTTAATATCCTCTGTCTCATTTTGTCATCGTTGTCATCTCATTATTGCAAATAATTTTATCATAATATAGTTTCTTTCTTTTTTTTTCCTCTGTGAACTTCCATAATAAGAATATTTTATGTTTGACGACAAGTTACTCCTTCTTACACTAAAATAACCAAAGAAACAGTGTTCTTACTTTCATTTTTCTTTTCATTTGTGCAAAATTTGACAACTTATCAAATTATATTACTACTGATACATTGATAATTGTTAATAAGATGAGACATATCCCATAGATCAATATAACAAATACTTGAACTTAAAATTATGAAATGCTTAGGAACAATGATCAAATCTTTTTTTCTCGAGAATAAATTCTTTCATAGATTCGATACTTTGTTGTGGTGTGAAAATACTTATCATTGAGCAATGTAGTAGTAAGCAGAATCGTCTAGAATTTAATCATGAAAACATTGTTTGGTTTTTGATCTGAAAAATGCAATCAACCTCATAAAGCTTGTAAAAGTGGGCAAATCGATCCAACGAATAAGGGCAAAAAATTTCATATTGATTTACTTACGATTCTTTATGGTTCTCAGTTTTTTTTTTCTATGACATAATTGTCGTTCCAATTTTTTAAAGGTAACTGTCAACGAGAGTTGACGCTACGGAAACTTACGAAAGAAAATTGTAAATTCAACCCATGCTTGAATGGTGGAACCTGTATACCTGGTAAAGTATCTTGCGTGTGCACACCTGGATGGATGGGTCGATACTGCCACAGTAAGTGTATTTATGTCGTAACTTTCACTGCCGGTGACTTAATTTTTCAAAATATTAAAACCCATATCTGTTCGTTAATTTCAATTGATTTTTTTTTTTTTTTTTTGCCAGCCAAATAGCTTAATAATTGTTTAAATTAAATGTGATCCTTTGCAGGACATTGTCGAAATGTTTATAAAAGTTGTGAACGATGGGCACTAGAGGATAAATGTGAACAAGTACGTACTCAAACAAACTTTTTCGATATTAATTGCGCGGTGAGCTGTCAACAGTGCATACCGGATCCCAAACATAGTATGCATTAATTAATTTCTTATGCTACCTTGTAGTGAGAACTTTACATTCTTCAGAAAGGATAAGCTTATAAATTTCATTTTGAAACTTGAAAATAAGCTAAAGAAGGACAAAATAGTATGTGTTGAGAATTCTTTACAGTTTTAAGTAATATTCCGGTGCCGCCAACACTGGAACCGTTGCAATTTATGGTAGGTCGATGGTATTCAGTGGCATCGAAAGGTTTTCGATATCCAACAGACATGTATTTAAATAGCTATGAAGAATTGCTGGATATTGTGCCTGCTGAAGTGCCAATGTTTGGAACTCCATCATTTAATTTCACGTAAGTCATTTTCAGACTCTACTATGAATAGTTCTTTCGAAAAGAAAAAAAAAGTGATTTCATTTATTCGTTATCTTGAAAATTATCGTTTCTATCGAGAAAATTTTGCGAGAATATCACTTTTAAACCTCTATGTTCAGATAATGCATATTAATAAAATTGCACTTGTTATTTGCAAATTTAATTTACTAAAAATTGATTTAATGTTTAATATTGACAAGTTTTTTTTTTGTTAGTCACGGTTTACTTCTAAGCTTGTTCTTGA